AAAATGTAAATTTTTAATAGAAAAATATATTTATCATAAAAACAACAAATAATTAAGGTTGTACAGGCGAGTCCCAATTATAGAATCTTTTAATGGGTAAAGATAACAAACGGGTCAAGACCCAACCCAATTCAAATTTGCTTGAGTCAAGTCCGATAATGAGTTATAGAACGGGTCAAAACTCAATCCAACCCAAATTTTACTATGTTTTACTTATTTTATTGTTCTATTTACAATATTTTAGTACCTAATAAAATGATTATTTTTCTTTATAATGGCTATATATAACATATCAAATTGTTAAGAGAAAATACATAAAAAAAAAACCCTGAACTTGGTCGGATAACTTACTTTAGTACTTAAACTACACGGGCGTTTAAATACCCCCTTAAGATCTTTGAAGTGATTTTTTTTTTCCACCCTGAGACTATAACATCACTCTCACCCGCCACATCATAGCCACGTAAGCGCCACATCATAACCATGTAGGCACCATGTCATTAATCTTTATTTCTTTTTACTTATTCACTATTTTTCTTAAACACTTTTTAAAATTAATTATATCAATTGATTAATTTATAAATGCATACCCCCACCCCCACCCCCTCTCTTTCTTCTTCCTTGTTGTTCACCATTATTCCAACCTTCAATACTTTCTTTTCTTCTTCTTCACTATTCACCAATTTAAGGGGGGGTATATAAACACCCGTGTAGTTTAAGTGCTAAAGTAAGCTTTTGTGCCAAGTTCATGAGGGGAGATTTTATGACTTTTCCCAATTTTTAAAAAAGTTCTTTAAGAATATTTTGACAAGATTTCTGTTGATTCAATATTTGTTACATATCACCAAAATTTTAATGGATTGAAATGAGTTAACCTAATAAATAAGCAGATCAATAACCCATCCAAACTTAAACGGGTTGGATGAATGGGCTTAATTTAGCCAATCCTAACTTTTGGCAAGCTATATTGTATAATCAGTGTTAGGGTGGAGGTTCGAGATTTCTAAGTTTTGAATTCAATAACTCTAGTAAAACTTTTTTCATTTTGTATTTCATTTGTAACTCAAATAATACCATTACTAAATTGTGATTCTGAATTTATTCTCTTAGAAATAATAATTTGAGTATTACCTTTAAAACTTTTTGCAATTGGCCAAAGACCGAGGGATTTCCCCCTCTAGTTCATTGCCATGCAAGTTGAGACTTGTAAGTGAACTTCCAATGCTAAAATTTGTTGAAAGAGTCCCAGAAAGTTTGTTATTCTGCATATCAAGAGCCTGGAGGCTACTAATATTGCCAAAACATTGTGGAATTGCTCCCTCCAGATTGTTTCTGCCCAAATCTAGAATTTGTAGTGATGTTAAACTGGAAATAGATGAAGGGATCTCTCCGCTGAGATTATTATGTGACATCATCAAAACCTGGAGGCCGCTGATATTACCCAAACATTGCGGAACTTTTCCCTTCAAATTGTTTCTCGGCATATACAACACTTCCAGTGATGTCAAATTGCACACAAATGAAGGAATTTCCCCAATGAGATTGTTATCATTGAGAACCAGAGTTTGCAGATTTCTCAAATTGCCAAATGAAGCAGGAATAGATCCATTAAGAGAGTTATTACCCAAATGTAGGAAATTAAGAGACCTTAGGTAACCTATTTCTTCAGGAATAGAGCCAGAAAGGTGATTACTATAAAGATACAAATCAGACAAGTTGCTCAAATTCCCCAATGACGCAGGAATAGAGCCCGAAAGCTGATTATTATAAAGATACAAACTAGACAAGTTGCTCAAATTGAAGCTTATTATTATAAAGAAGCATAAAAGACAAGTTGCTCAAATTCCCCAATGACGCAGGAATAGAGCCCGAAAGCTGATTATTATAAAGATACAAACTAGACAAGTTGCTCAAATTCCCCAATGACGCAGGAATAGAGCCCGAAAGCTGATTATTATAAAGATACAAACTAGACAAGTTGCTCAAATTCCCCAATGACGCAGGAATAGAGCCCGAAAGCTGATTATTATAAAGATACAAACTAGACAAGTTGCTCAAATTCCCCAATGACGCAGGAATAGAGCCCGAAAGCTGATTATTATAAAGATACAAACTAGACAAGTTGCTCAAATTCCCCAATGACGCAGGAATAGAGCCCGAAAGCTGATTATTATAAAGATACAAACTAGACAAGTTGCTCAAATTCCCCAATGACGCAGGAATAGAGCCCGAAAGCTGATTATTATAAAGATACAAACTAGACAAGTTGCTCAAATTCCCCAATGACGCAGGAATAGAGCCCGAAAGCTGATTATTATAAAGATACAA